AAATCCATTGGGGCAACAGACTAATAAAGATAAAGATCTACAAAAGGGCCAAGCTCTCTTGGCACAACTGCTTGCTAGGGCCCAAAGACTATTGCATGGTGTGTATGATATGGTCAGGGGCTAAAACAGGGGTCTGGGAATCCCACTGCAGTACCAAGATCTGCTGATGTCTTTCCACAGGCTCAGACATCACTAATGTTAATGCTATAGTTGCCAGGATTAACATGGAGTTTGAATGAGACTAGAATGCATAAAACAGTTTTACTGGAGTGTCTTATGGGGAAGGATCTTATGTCTGACCAGAGAACACTTTTCTCACCTAGCGCTGTGAAACAGAAAGCATGATGCAATGTCACTGGAGTCATTAACCAAGAATAAGTCAAAGTCCTAGGCCTGACCTGTGCGGCACAGAGGCTGCAGTGCTATACACACAAATCCTACCTGGACCCCGGCAAAAGCCTGGAGGGCAACAATTTAACTTAAGCGATAAAACCAGTTTTTTAATCTGATGTTAACTGAAACTGATTTGATTAAAGGACATAACCCTTGAAGCCCAAAACACCCATGGCAACCCCAGTGACATCAAGAAAACTCTCTCTCTAATCGAAGAGGGCAGTGTCCAGAGGTCCCCAACAAAACAGAACAGTGTACAGTGGATCACAGTACCACAGGACTGTGAAGAGAAAAAAGCAGGAAGACTTTGCCCAGGCTGACCAGAGCTGACTAGAGCTGTGTGAGAAGCTGCCAGGTTCTACTGTTCCTGGCATGGGCCCCATGAACACCAATCAGCTACCAAAAGTAGCTATTTGGTTTATGAATGGGAGTTCCAAGGTGAATGGCAAAACCAAATCAAGCTTTAGAAGGTAAAACAAAATCCATTCAGTAGGCTGACTGACCCGCATGTTATTTTCCTAGCAGTAACACAAGAGCTAAATGGTAAATACTCTTTTATCTAGGTTTTTACCACAACTGGGCTGCAGCCAATAACTTGGCCACCTGGTCAAGGAGACAGACAGTGGAAAATTAGACTATTAAAGGGTAGTGCAGGAGTACATTTCTGCCTCAACTGAGTCTGTCTGGCCATTTAAAAAGCATCATGAATAACTTTTAACAATATTACAATTGCATTTATCATGAAGTTAAAAATACTGGTCAAAGCTGGCAAATCCTACTGCTTTTAGAGTCCATGGGAAGCCATTCTATAGCCATCAGAATGTCAGGTTTACTTTTATGATTTATAAACTCATACCCAAGGGCTGGGGATTTAGCTCAGTGGCATAAGTGCCTGCCTGGCAAGTGCAAGGTTGTGAGTTTGATCCCTGGTACAAAAACAAAAAAACAAAACCCAAAACTCAAACCCAGTAAGTTATGCTGTCTGCTTGAATGGGTCTACCAATTTGTGAAAGGTTCCCAACGGTTTCGGAAAAGCATGCGATGCTTCTACTTCCTGATAGGGACAACCCACAGTTCCCTGGAGGGGCAGCAGTGGGAGGGCCAGGAGCACCTCGAAGGTGAAGGTGCAGGGCTCTCTGTGCAGCCCAAAAGCAGGCAACTGTGGATTTCCTCTGTGAAGAGCCAGAGATGGCCAGCATGTCCCCCAGGCTGTTGTTACTGGCACTAAAGGTTAGAAGCTGGCATTGAAAACTCCCTGTCTTTTATTTTTCTGCTATTCTCTTGAAAAGAAAATCTTACTCCCTATTCTGCCCTACAGATTTCCAGGCTGCACCAAGAAAGGGCCTTTGTGTGATCTGGTGTTCCACAAGGAGCCTTCACCTCTTGGGTGCACTTTCTACTTCACGTGTCTAACTGACTGCCACCATGAAGTGTCTGTCATGTATACAATCCCCCCATAATAGACTGGGTCTGTTCTATGGGCTACCGACCAGAATTGCAAATCAATCTAGACAGACCCCCATCACTAAAAAACCATCCACTTTAACTCACTCTGGGTTTTCATGGCAATTGCAACATTTTTTAATGTTATGGTGCACCTCTACTGGTGCGGAAATGAAGTAGATGCCCTGAAAACCCCTTCCAGAGCTAAGAAAGACAAGGGACACCAGAGTATGAGTCAACACAGTAACTCGTGGATTTAATCTGTTTAAGAAAAACCTCCTTCTTAACGAGAAAGACAAACCTGGGCTTCACTTTACACTCAGCAAGTACTTGCTGGACAACACTTTAAAAAGGCTGACAGACTATGGCACAACAGAGATGGCTGGGGAAGGGAGAGGGCACAGTCAGCAAGGTGGTGAGATGCTCTGGGGAGACTGAACCCAGTTCTTACTGCTACCACTTACTTGTTTATTGGCCATTCCAGGCACTCACTCAGCTTTCCTGATCCAGCATTTCCTCCTCAGTTACACACTGACAACAGCACTGGCTTATGCTGATGGGATTAAATGGAGGGGACAATTCCAAAATGTATGTGTTTTTGCAGTGTGCCGACGAAGTGAGTTTTGTGAATGGCTATAAACTTTGTAACACCTTTCTTTCCAGATGACACAGAAAGAAAAGTCTAGTTCTAGAAGCTGAGTTCATGACACATGCCTGTAACTCCGATTAATCAGAAAGCTGAAGCAGGATCGTAAGTTGAAGGATTCTGAGTTGAAGGCTAGTATAAACAACGTAGTGAGACCTTGTTTCAAAAAATAAATAACCCAAGCAGTACCTCAATTCATGACCTTCATTCTCTCTACCATTCTGGTAGCAAACAGAACTGGATGAGAACCAAATCAAATTTCCCCATAAGGTTAACACTGAACCTATGCACTGAATTTGATTTGGTTCTCACTCAATTTGGTTTTCAACCAGAATAGTAAAAAGAATGAAGTTTGTGAACTGAGGCACCATAGTAAATCTAATCCCGTAATCTCAGGTGTTGTCATCAGTATATAGATTAAGTTACCAAAAACTATTTAGGGTACAGAACATAGCCATAAATATTCTTCATTTGATACTAAATTGGTATATACAGTCAACTCAAACTTCATAACGGACTCCTCCTTAATCCAACAGGACAAAGTACTCAGATCAGAAGAGTAGAGGTTAAGGGTAAAGGGCAAAAGTTTAGGCCAGACAAACAATGAGACATAAAATGCTGCTTAAAAAGTGTGATCATAGGGGCTGGGGTTTTAGCTCAGCAGCATAAGCACCTGCCTAGCAAGCAAGGTTGTAAGATAGATCTGAAAAAAGTGTGATGATGGGAAGTTTTGTTTTTTCTTATTAAAAAAAAAGCATGGTACAGAATAGGAAAGAACATTTATTAAGTTTCTGTCTGAGTTTTGTTTTGGGTTTTTTGGGTGACACTGGGGATTGAACCCAGGACTTCGCCTGTCAGGTAAGCGCTATCTTGAGCCACTGCCCAACAACCCTCAGCCCAATACCCTGACTGTTTAATGAAGCTATAATTTAAAGTTACATGTTGGATCTTCACAACTTCACATCAGTATAATTTACAGAGGAGTCTATGGGACTAATAGTATTGATAAGAATTATAATCACGTCAACCATCACTTGGCAGTGTCAATTACACTCTGAGCGCTCTGTAGTGGTTCTTAACTTCCGCTGTCAATCAGCTGGAGGAAGTCGACAGGAAGATTAAGCAGCCTGCCCACGGTTACAATAGTCAGGGACAAAGCAGAGATTTGAACCCAAGATTGTTAGGACTTCTAAAACCAATATAAGTGGAACATTCTTAACACACAATGAAATGCTCCAAAATCTGAACCCATGCGAGAGCACTGACATGATACAACTCTCCAATCTTACCCTCTTCAGGGAAAAGGAAAGAGAAAGTTATTTAAAAATTTCAATTGGACATGGTTGGTTTATAGGTGATGCGAGCACTCAGGAAGACAGCCGGAAGGAGAGAAATTACACTGGCCATGAGAGTAGAATTCCTGACAAACTGGCACCAGAACACACCACCGAAGAAAACTCTGCAGTATAAACTGAAAGAAAACACAACCTCCTGACAGGCTGTCAACACACAAACAGTGTCAACATACACACAAGATGGGGAGTACAAATATAGCTTACTTGGCTCAGCCTTGCTTATGATTTAAAATAGAAAAATAAAAACAAGTGAAGTGGTAAAATAAGCACTTGATAGCAGCAGTTGGAAGATGGCACTGTAATTCATTCTGCCAGCCTAAATACAAATTAAATTAGCAAAATCCTAACCCAAACATCTCTGCCACATTTCCTGAAGGCACCACGCACACCCATCCTGCAATTCCCTCACTGCCCACAAAGGCACTCACCCTTCGCTCTCTAGTGAGTTCATGCAGATGCGAACTGGTACCTAGTCTAGGCTGGACACCAGTTACTGCAAATGCAGTATAAAAGAACTCCCACCAATTAATTGAACCCAGGGCTTTGTGTATGCTAGGCAAGTGCTGTATCACTGAGCCAGTCTCAGCCCAATTTGGTAGTTTGTGTGTGTTTGGACAGCTTTGACTAAATGATTATATATAGACATCATCTTTCTTCTGTGTCTTAAAAAGGCCAAGCCTGCACACATTCAACCTGAGCTCGTGGCTGGGCCTGGGGAAGTGGTGCCTGTCTCTTGCCCACATGCCTTCTGCTCCCTCCTATGAGCTGGGAGCTACTTTAGACACTGAATCAGGGCTGCTGCTTCTTCCTCTCAATACAACAGAATTTTCATGTGCACCTTTACTAACCTGTAAAGAATCAATCTACATGTTCCTTGCACTATGAAAAAAATGCTTCTTTAATGATGATTATGAATTATCAGAGAAAAGTCCATTGTTTTTAAAAAATAAATACATCCAGATATGTCATATTAGCACTTTTATATTCCCAGTTTCTCTCTACAACCACTGCAGCCTATAGTCCCTCTCACAGCTGCTTCCCTGATGGGAAACAGCAGACACCTGGTCATTCATTATTTGATTCTAATAATATGATTCAAGGAAATATAGTAGTTGAGGGCACAGGTACTTGTTTTTAGGCAATGAAGTGCAAGGAACACCTACCTTGTGAGTAGAGAAGGATCTGCATTTCCAACAGAACACAAGTGAACACCTGCACTAGGTTCTCCAGTCCCAAGAGCTCGAAGGCCTCTCGGAGTGGGTAGTCAGAGAGGGGGAGTTCATTGGGCCCAGGCCTCTGGCAGACAACAGGTTCATAAACACCATAAAACTTCAGTGAACGTCCTGGAGGTGGAAGGGGTACCTCATAAAGAATATTGTGGATATAGCTTTCCAGTGGTAAGGGGGGCGGCTGTTGCGAGGTGACTGCTTTGTGAAGCTGCATGAGGAACTTCTTGCAGGCCTGCATGAATGGGAGCGGAGTGATGAGGCAGATACTTTTTGAAACATACAAGGTGTCTCTGTTGATGTCATAGGAATTGTAGCGTTGAAGCTTCAGGAGAGAGGTGGCGTCAGCCTCATCAGCGCTGCTGGAGAGCGAGTCCATGCTGCAGGAGGAGGATGCACACACGCTGCCACAACGCTCTGCGTGGTGCATCTGGTACAGTGTCTGCATGGCTGTGCAGATCTGCTTGCTGGTAACCTCTTCAAAGAAAGTGAGGACGAAGCCATAGGTGCGAGAGCCATCCTCCCGAGTAATTATGAACGAGTGGAAATGAGGGTCTCTATTGTCGTTCTGTGTCCTGAATGACAGCCCTTTAGGCATGCATAGCTGTGGAGGGAGAGAGGGAGCATCAGAACTTCAAACCAGAACAAAAGTTCCTCTTTCAACATGATAAGACTCAGACAAATTCCAGCCAGATTTAACTCAACCACTCCCCCAGGACTCTGGCCAAACCATCTGGCCTGTGTGTCTTACTTGTACATCACACACGGACCTAAGGGAAAAGTACACGTGTGGGCATCACATGTAGCGTTTATTAAGAATGAGAAGATCTTCTATTTGGTTCCGGGAAGCCTCTGCCCAACACTGTGACCTTGAACAACACCTGTACCTCATTTCCTTTTTCTACTATAGCTGCTGCTCCAATACTGTGAGGCAGAACAGGCAAAGATGCGCTGCAAAGACTTCATTTTCAGTACCATTTCTTTAGTAACAATAATGTCTCAGAAGAATAAGAAAACAAGCGGAGGCTCATTAGATAAAATGATACAAAGAAAAAAGTTAAAAACAACAGCATGATTTTCACTGTTTTGAAGAATGATATTTTATCTTAGAAAAATAATTTTTTTCCAAATGTATTTTATTTCAATGAGTAAAAAAGTAAAATTTTGAAATACAACAATCAGGGGACAGCAATGGTACATACACTGTACATTGCCATCCCCAAATCAGTCACCCAGAGGGCAAAACATTTGCATTTGATTGTCTAAACAGTACTAGTGCAAACCTTTATCTTCAATGAACGCTGAGAAACTAGTTGTTTAACCATTTTAACTATATTTTATTATATATACACATATACATATATTGAGAAAAATAAATTTTGAAAATTAAAACCTTTTTTATTTTATGAAGCAAAAAGTAGGAACACGACATTTTATATTCTCTATAGCAGAGATCTGAGTAAATCTTCGAAACTATCCAGGACTGAGCCAATTTTGGGAGCAAAATTACCCAAGATGCTTAAAATGCATAAGAAATTTGAATTTTTAAAAACACTTCAAAAATTACAATTTAAAATAGCTGACAAAAGCATAGTCCCTGTGGCGGCCCTAGAGCTCCCAGTCTGAGACAATAGATGATTACAAAGCACAGCAGGACAGCACAGATGACAAGGAGCTGCCAGGGAGGCTGAAGCCCACGCTGAGGGTTGAGCACAGCAAGATCAGACTAAGGTGGAGAGAACAACCAGTGCCAATGCCCAGAGGGCCTTGGGAGGATGAGGCAGGAGGATCACAAGTACAAGCTCAGCTGGGCAATTTGGTGAGACTGGTCTTAAAAATTAAAAAAATCTGGGTGTGTAGCTCCGCATGAAGGCTCTGCAGCATTTAATTCCTCGTAGGGGAGGAAGGAGAGGGCAGCAGACCATGGGGGCTGAGGAACTGAAACTGAACATGGTCCGTATAAGTGAGGAACAAAAGGTGAGGTGGGGAGGGGACAGATAACCAGAAATCACAAGGGGCCAGGGCCTGGGGACCTCTGAGGTTTACCCAAATGGGAAGAAGACATCAGCAGCCTCAGAGGGTCTTTAAGAGGGATAGAGCATAGACATGCCAGGTGGTTGGCACCTGTCCACCAGCAGGAAGGGCAGCAGCACTGTCTCAAGGTCTGGCAGAGGTCAGAGGAGAAAGCTGAGCACTCGGGGCACCTCTCTCCCCTGAACATCCCACCTTCATGAGTCTCCTGGCTTTCACCCTTGGCCTCCCCAAGAATTGACTCTGAGTCCCAGCAACCCCAGCCCTCACCTCTCCACATGGCTGAGTGTACTCAGGAAGAGACTAGCATGCACTTCCCTCCCCAGGATGCTGTGTGGCTTGTTCCCTTGACAGCCTGCAGCCTCAGAAGGGCTCAAGGACCCTTGTAGTTTCCTGTGCTCCAGACCTCACCACCAGGGCCCCATACATGGGAGAGTCTAACCCTTGCCCAGAGCTGGTGGACTGCTGAGAGCACTTAGACCAGGCAGCTGCAAACGTTTTCTGCCAAGAGCCAGAGAAAGCAGGGCATGGTGGCACACACCTGTAATCCCAACACTCTAGGAGGCTGAGGCAGGTGGATCACAAAGTGATATGGCTCAGTGGGAAGGCTACTCTGAGTAACCATTTTACTCAAGTAAAATGAAATGGCAGGGAAAATGTCACTGTGGCTCTGAGGCAAGGCAACAGGAGGCACCCAGCTTCTTCCTGTCCTGTTGGCCACTGAGGCTGGGAATTTGGTGAACCAGAAGCAGTCATACTGGAGGGACAGAAGAGGCCCGGTACTACTCTTGGCCCTCAGCACCACAAAACAAAACAATGTATAATTTGGGGCCAAAGTAAAAAGTGATTCCTAAGGACAGAAAGAAAACTGTGCTGTAGGCAGCGTACTATGCCCAGGGGAGATGTTCATGCCAAGTTACTTTTGCTTCCTGTCCCTTGGGCCTGCACTCAAAATTCTAACGAAAAGCTGTGCTCAAGTACTAAAGAGTTAACTACTGATCATCTTTCTTCAGATTTACACAACTCCAAGATCTGACAGCCCTTGGATAAGACCAGAGCGTGCACTGGCCCTCTTCATTCTGGTTTCACATCAGGTAACACTAAGCATGTGTAATGCCATGAGTAGTGACGCATTTGTCCTGTGAACCAGCCCAGGAGTTTGAGGCTGGTTCTGATATCCTGGCCAAAAAAGGGCAAAAAACCAAAACGAAACAAACAAACAAACAAAAAGAAACAAGGAAGCAAACAAGACATGCTGGGGTGAGGAAGAGCTCCCTCACCTGGGAGCCTCTAAGTCCTCTGCCCCCATTTTCCCGTATCTGAGCTGCAGAGACCGTCCTCTGAGGTGGTAGCACTGTCGCCTCAGGGCCAGCTGTTAAGGAACTGGCTCCTGGGCAGGGAGCAGGTGACGGGCCCAGCAGCAGCACGATTAACTGGTGAGCTGCCTTTGTACTCACACACTGAGCACAGACTCTGAGTACCATACAGGACAATGAGCACGCCTCTGTTACTCACGTATGGAGTATGAGACTATGAGAGGAGTTAGCTTTACATAATTTCTTTACATACACTGACAGTAATTGAGTTATTAAGTACATCTAAATAGAATAAGCTGTAGACATAAATAAAACAAATACTTGGATTTGCTAGGGGAAACACTATTTTTAGCACTGGGGATATAAGTACAGGGGAAGAAAATACAGGCAGGAGTTTTTCTGCCTTCAAAGGAAGCCTGCTCTCATCATAATAAAAAGAGAACAAGCTCCTCTCAGCAGTAAAAATAAACCCATATGACACATTTACTTCAGTCAACGAAGACTGTAGAAGGGATGATTTGAATTACTTTTGTTCTTGGTTATTTCAAACTTGCTCAGTATTGGTGCATGGCACATCAATATTTGTTGAATTTATAAATGAAAGAACAAGAAAACAAAAAATACAACAGCTTTGGGTACAAGTCTTAATTTAGTTCACCTCTTGCACCTGCCTGAAGTTTTCTCTCTGTCAAGTAGTAATACAGAAACACAGAGACTCCCAAGTCAACATAAAAGCTGGAGTTTATTTTTAGGTTTTCCTCACATCCTAAACTATAGAACTCATGGCTCACCTACTTTGAACAGTGACCAAACCACCCTTCTCAAATTTGCAGCTTTCTTGAGCACATCAACAAACAAAAACATTTACAGAAAGAACTTGCCAACTCTGTGCTCTGTGCTCAGAGCGAAGGGAGATTTCCTATGCTACAGATGACATGTGGAAAAATCTCCTCTGACGGCTCTCCTTATAAATCAGAAAGTCCAAATTACATTTTTAATCTGGAAACCATGAATTGCTTATTTTTAAAACACAGAATCAGAGCTGCGGATGGGCACATGTTTGGAATCCCAGCACTATGTGAGGCAGAGGCAAGAGGATCACAACTTTGAGCCCTGCCTGGGCAATGCACTGAGGCCCTGTGTCAGGGCAAAGGCTCTGGGTTCAAACACTAGTACTGAAGAAAATAAATAAACAAAATTCATAAACTTTTAGAAGATATATTTTATTTCTCTGAAAATCTGAGATACAAAGATTTTGTCTAGCACAGTATTTAGTCTTTTTCCACTTGACAATACCATTTACTAATAATACACTCATCCTCCCACAATAAAACAACTAAAAATGAGACATGTCAGGGGATCTAGATTGCCACTTATGACTAAATTATATTCTCCAAAGGAGGTTAATAAGACTGTCCACAGATCTTAGTCTGAGTGAACAAATGTCTTTAATTATCTCTGTGATCACTTTCAGGCAGTTTGGCTTGACTTTAATTATTTCCACTTTTTTTTTCCTTTTCCTCTTTGGCTAGAATTTAGCATCCCCTTTTACCATGTTCTATAGTTCTAGGGCTCCATAGCCCATCATTGTTCAAATAAAAGAAAAATTATTCAGAAAAGAATTGGCACGGTTACTCACCCTTCCTTCTTCCCTTTCTTCTCTTCTTTCCCTCCCACTCTTCTCTTTAACGAACATTTACTTTATACCATGTATTACATCAGGTTATACAATTCATAATAGAAACATGAAAATAATCCCTTCTTTCAGGAAGCTTAGTCTAGCAGGAAAGACAAACACCTACACAAAAACCAACAAAGTTACAAAATAATGTGATCAGTATTTCTATGGAGGGTGCTCAAGAAGCTACATGAAGAATAGAGAGAACTTAAGTACTTCTGCCTAACAGAGACAGTTTTGCAGAGACAGTGCCCAGACAGACAAGAACAGGGAAGAAAAGTATTATAAGCAAGTAAGTATTTCTTAGTTTATTCAGTAATGTGAGCACCTACAATGTGTAAGGCTAGGGACCTAGAAAGGAATAAAGAAACTGCTCCTGTCCTCAACAATGACTATACTATAGCAGACATACAGAAGTGTATCTTAGTTACTTTTCTTGTTGCAGAGACAAAATATACAACAGTCAAAGTTAAAGGAGGAAAGGTTTGTTTAGCTCATGATCTGTAGAGGTTTCAGTCCATAATTGGCTGGTTCCAGGCAGGGTGGCTTGGTAGAGGGGCACCACAAAGGAGAAATAGGTCATAGCATGCAGAAGGCAGCAAAAAGCAACTTATCAGCTTCTTTCTGCCCCTTTTATACTTTTTCTAGGCTACTGGGCTTAGGTGTGCCAAAACCATCAGCGGACTGATTCAGTAATCACCTACCTTTAATTCCAGCATCATGCCTCCCATACCCCGTCACTTCTGAAAAGCCTATAACTGCATGAAGCATTGAGGGGATATCCAGATACAAGTCATAACAAGGTCAGTCTTAGTTATATAATTATTTAATTGCAATCAGATAGGTTCTACAAAAAGGTACAACATATTAAGGGAACTCTATCTTGTGCTACCCTCTTAGTAGCTCATCAAGTCCCTTCAGGAGATAAGGTGCGAGGCCCTGCAGTCAGGGGTGTGGGGTGTGTATGAAAAACAGAAACAGACAGACAGCGGACTGCCTAGCAGAGAGGGTAAGAAAATGACAATTCCCAAGGATGACCTCAAAATGTCTGGCTTATGTAAACAGGCAGACAGCTGTGTTATTTACTGCCCATGATTAACATGGGGAATGATTCTGGTTTGGGCCATGATGAGTCTGAGATGCCAGTGAAGCATGCTGGGTAATGTTAAGGAAGTGGCTGGCCTGCCCTAGCAAAGGCTGACTGAAAACCCCATACCTACGATGTTATTTTAAGACACAAAATAAACTGGGTCTAAAAGAAACCTTTCACTATGAAGTCATACCTAGAGATATATGTTGAGTTACCAGTTTCAAATTCTAGTACTTGCCAAGTACATAAAAAGCATATGCTTCCCCCTCGCCTTCGCTTTTTTTTGAGATGGGATCTCACTATGGAGTTCAGGCTAGCCTAGAACTCACTATGTCTCAAACTCATGGCAGTCCTCTTGCCTCAGCCTCCTGAGTGCTGGGATTACAGGTGTGCACCGCTGGACCTTTTTCCTTTTAATCTTGCCAAATGGCCATCTGGCAAGGTTTGTTCTGCCAATTTTTTACCCTTTACTCTTGGCCATCATGCCTCTCTACCCTTCCTTGTCATCAAAGTAAACAGTACATTATAAACCTACAACTTTACAAAGAGCTTTATAATAGATCTTTAATTTCCAGAAGTACAATCTATCACAATTAACTTTGAACATTTAAGACAGAGTACTCATAATCCATCTAACTTGTTTAAAAAGGTACTGTTATGGTTTATATCCAGATGTCTCCCAGAAGCCTCACACTCATTATGGGAGGTATGAGGTAATGGATCATGGGAGCTCACAGCTGAACTTGCTAGGCTGGGCCCCTGGGGGCATGTCCTGACAAGGTTCCCTCCTCCCTAGCTCCTCCCCTCACTCCAGGCTTCCTGGCTGCATGATGTAAGCAGCTTTCCTCTGCCAGACACATCCATTGTGTGCCTTTCTGCCTCAGAGTTGGCCAGCTAGGAACTAAAAATGAGAACCAAAACAAAGCTCCTCTCCTTTAAATTGCAGTGGTGGGAACGTGTCTCAGGTACCAGGAATAAGAAGGTAGTGTATTGAATGTGCCTTCTTTCTTCCCGAGAATTCCTAGGTGTCACACGTTTGTTTTTTTTTTTGCACTGGTGATTGAACTCGTGACCTCATGCTTGCCTGGCAGGCACTTATGCCGCTGAGCTAAATCCCTGGCAATGTGTCACACATTCTTAAGGGGAAGACTCACCTACTAGAACATTACTGTACATAGTCACAGACACAAACATGCAGTTACCTCAGAGACACAAAGTGGAGTTAGAGGGAAAAGTGGCAGAATTTCTGTTCTGTTTTGCAGTGCTTTATTTCATTTAATATGAAAGATACATGCCAAGTGTAATGAATGGCACATGCCTATAGTCTCAGCTATTCAGAAGCCGTGGCAGGATTCAGTTTGAGCCCAGCTTGAGTAATTTAATAAGATTATGTTTCAAAATAAAATGAAGAAGGCTGGGGCTGTAACTCAGTGGCAGAGTTGCATAGCATCTATGGTACCAAAAACAAACAAACAAACAAACAAAAAACAACAACAAAAAACCCCCCTTATATACTGCAAATAAAAGAACAAGCTCGGCATGGTGGTGCTCATCTATAATCCCAGCACTTGGAAGGCTGAGGCTCTGGCCACGAGTTCAAGGCCAGAGTCAGAAAATCAGAGTCAGCAACAACACATAAAAATAGTTCAAAAATAATTTTACTTGTCACATACATATTTTATATATTTTCATGATACTCATACACATGGGATTTTTTATTTAATAAAGTCTGTGGCTCCTGGTACTTAACTTATGTATGAAACTAATGGCCTCTATTCAAAGCTCCACTGTGGCTTCTTAGTAAAACAACTAACACTACAGACGACAGAGACTCTGATTTTATTAAAGGTAAGACAAAGCTTTGTATCTTTAGGTAAGAAAAAATTATAGCTTTGTACAAATGAACTTATTAATAAATCAAAGAGGAAATTAAGGGCAATAAATCTATGGCCCCAAAGCAAACTAGTTCAAAGGAATGTTTTTTAGAGTTTCAAGTATTAATGGTAAATCCTTTTAAATCTGCAGCAGAAATCAAATTGCTATGTGGCACTTTACCATTGAATCACAGCTTTTGCATTTATTCTTCAGAGGGAAATTTTTGTGGTTTATATAAAATAATCTCAGAAGCAAGCATTAAAATTATCATGAAGAGATAAAGGAAGCTGATAACTGCTTTAACAATGAATGTTTGGCAGATAGAGGCGAAAGTTACCATGGGTATCACACTATTAACGCATTCAAATGATTAAAGGAAAGAGCACACTAAGTGCGGATTTTGTTCTGAGCGGTGAGCTCATGTTCTCAGAACGCGGTTTTGAACATCACTTTGATTGCCTCACAGAAGAATTCATACTCTGAAATGTTTTACTAATTTAAGGAGGGTATTACATTCTATTCATGTTCTTACGCATTTTTCCATTGCTTCAGTTAGACACTCCTTAATACCTTTCTATTAAGTTGCTGACATAGCAGCTGATGGATTTTTTTTTTTTGTCTTTTTCATTTCTATCAGCACCGGGATTGAACTCAAGACCACCTGCTTGCAAGGCAGGTACTTATGCCGCTGAGCTAAATCTCCAGCCCTGGATTATTTTTTTGTCACTGTTGTCTGCTGACTATTTTAGTCAGAAGCTTGTTTAGACTCCCTCAAATTGCAGAAAGATAACCACCAGTTATGTTCTACCCAGCATCAAAATATACTATCTTCACTAAAGATGAAGCCAAGTGTCCAACAAAAAACATCTCTGGTTATCCTGGTACTGAGTAATGGTCTGGGAAAATAACTACGTTGTGCTCTGTAAAGAATCCAAGTCAACATGTTAAGTGCTTCAGGCATTCAACCTTACCAAAATAAAAAAACATCCCGCTAGCACTCCTCCCTCACTGGTGCAGACTCAGGGTACAAACGTTTTGCTATGATACAAAGACCAGTAGGGGTCCAGTGTGACCCACAGCATCTCTTAGCATGACAAATGGGTAAAAATGATCTGGCTTTAGCCTCAGATTCTTACTGCATGACTTTGGAAAGATCAGTATTATTATTACTTTGTGGGTATTTAATTTGCTTTGCTTTGTTTTGCTGTACCGGGGCTGAATTCAGGGCCTTCAGTGAGCTAGAACTTCACACATATTCCCTCTCCCATTTAGGGACAGGGTATCCCTAAATTGCCAAGTAGAATTAGGCAATGTTCTTTCTTCAGCCTCTTAAAGTGCTGTAATTACAGGCAAGTGCACAAATTACTGAAATCTGTAAAATATGAACAAGAATTCACACGGGGACATATCAACATGTATATGAAGCTAACATACTTGAAGTCTCTAGCAAGCATTTACTAAATATTAATTTCTTTTCTTTTCTTCTGAGTATCATAATAATAGGATCTTTCATGTTCTTTGGTTCTGCCTTTAAAATTCTCAAAAAGAACTGTATCAGAGGGCTTCAGCCCACTACTAAGCATTCCTAAGCACATGAAGCCTGACACTTGGTTTGGTCATTCCTGAATTATGTAATCACAGAGTAGATAGCGACTTAAAATATTATCTAGATTCCAGGCAGAACTTGTCCTAAAGTGAGAGGGAAACTATGTACGATTTTATTTCTAAGACTAAAGGAGATTTTTAATCACTACTAGTAACTCATTACATTGGCTCAGATTCCTTACAAATACCTGCTAATGTCTAAACAATACATTTAGGTTTCATTCTAGTCTCACGCTGTCTGTGGAAATGATGCATTGCAGCTACATCATACAATACTTCTTAAAATACGAAAACTAACCATGCTTCTTCCATCAGATATCACTGCTTATCAAAGCATCTATATATTAGTTAATACAAACCCACAATACAGTTTAATAGTAAGAAATAAATGAGTTTTGAGAGTCTCTTGTAAACATTTATTGGCTGAGGGGAACACTTGGAAGTGACTCTGAGCTTCAGTTTACATATCTACAAAATGTGGGCAATATTATGTTTCTTACATAATTATCCAAGGATTAAATAAAATAATGTGGACATTCAAAATATAGCCACTGTTGTCATCTTTACAAAATAAAACAAAAACTAAAGACAGACTGTAGAGGAAAAGAAAATACAAACCATGTTCACTGCATCTCGATCAAAAGGGTTCCACTCTATGTTCTGAGGGTAATGGGCCAGAACTTTGGATCTGAACGTTCTTCTCAAAGGGCTCTGGTCAAAATTTTCACCTACAACAAATAATTAATAATTAGTATCTACAACTTTTTCAAAACTCTGTCATTGTTTTCTAGTTTCTTTTGTATATAGGTATTTACTGATAATGCTGATGTCTGATTCAAGTTTTACTTTTAACACTGTGAGTTGTAAAATCTCCAGTGGACAACTGAAAAAAATCTAAGTAAGAGACTGGCACTTAAAATTTCAGAATCTGAATTTAAAACACTAGCTATATTACTGATATTAAAACACACACTAAAATAAGTATTGCCATGATATAATTATTATACTCATTTCAATACAGGGTGATGCTTTTATATGTAAGTTAACTCACTAAAGAAATATCCAGATGTAAGTTAATCTACTTTTTTATGATTCTAAAGTTTTATACACAGACACAGTGCTGCAGAGCACAGAGGAGGCAATTTTGATTTTTCACAAAATTTTCTGATAATTGTGATTTTCATATCTAGGTTCTTTAGGAACCAAATTACAAAATCAGAAGCATTGTTATTGAGCTACCTAGTTTAGTGGACAGAACACACTAACCACATTTAACATTTAAAAAAATGAGTTAAGTCTAAGGTAAGTTCATCTGTCAAAATTCTAGAAAGATAAAAAAGTAAACTATTTCATATGAGAAAATTCAAGGACTGTCAAATCAGTTCTTTATCAGAGACCTCTGACCAAATCAATTCCCATAAAATCTGTTATTTCCACATCTTAATTCATAAAATATTTTAATGTAGATGGATCTTAAATTCTCAATGTCAAAAAGCTGGGATCAAGGAATAAGAACACCTTGGAGTAATTTTATTCTGTCACCTGTGTTTCTGCTTATGAATACTAGTTATGGTAGCAAAACATAAATGTCATTTACCAGTACCCGCAAAACCAAAAATACTATAAAGCAACCTGATTTATGAGTCATTTTTTGATATCTTGTTAGATTCGGTTTCCACTATGGGTAAAAACATGAAAAGACATACTGAAACACCTTTGAGTGCAAAACTTAACAGGAGGGAGAAGTCACACTCTGAAATCTTGTTGGAGATTATCATATGAAACACACGGGAGCTTTTCTGAGTAAGAGCCCGTAATTTAAATATATCTGCTGAGACAACTAACTGTAGATTCTAACTGTCCTTGCCTAAGATCATTTTCCCTGGGATGCCACTAACTTATTTAGGCAAGTATCAATTTTCTTTATTTTTCTACTTCTAAGAGTGGAAAACTTCCATTTCCAGAAGAGAAACTGTGAAAAGCATCTTTAAAGAATGTTTAATCAACTTTTGCACCATACTCCTAAGTGACATAATATCAGAAAGTCAGTGGAGAGGCTAGGCGTGGTGGGTACCTGTCTATAATGTCAGCACTCTATGAGGCTGAGGCAGGAGGATCAAAAGTACGAGCCCAGACTGAACAACTTAATGAGAGACTCTGTCTAAAAATAAAACACAAAAAAAAGGCTGAAAAGGCAGCTCAGTTTAAAGTTCCTGGGTTCAATCCCCAGTGCCACAGAAGGATGTGGGGAAGGTCAATGGAAAAATGTGAAATTGCCTGTGAGTCAATGTGGCTGAAGAACAATCAGGGTTCAAAATTGTTACCATAGGTAAGTGAAATCCTTAAGCTTTTTTTTTTCTTTTTTTTTTTTTGGTCTTTTTCATTTTTATTGGTACCAGGGATCGAACTCACGACTACCTGCTTACAAGGCAGGTGCTTATGCCGCTGAGCTAAATCCCAGCCCCGAAATCCTTAAGCTTTTACTAGATTTTCATTTTACTAGATTTTACTAGATTTTCATGACTAAGAATTTTTTTTTTTTTTTGTCTTTTTCCTTTTTATCGGTACCAGGTTTCGAACTCACGACTGCCTGCTTGCAAGGCAGGTGCTTATGCCACTGAGCTAAATTCCCAGCCCCTAATACTAAGAATTTTTAAAGCTTCTTAGTAATAAGTTACATTTCATCTCAGTTTAAGTTGAAGAAAAAAACAAAATAAAATTTGGTACTAAAAGTGTATGCTTCTGACTCTGATGATTTGGCAATAAGCATTATCTTGAGATAACCAAGAGACATGTTCTCTTCTTCTCTGCCCTTCAATGCCTGTTTTTACACCCACTCATGAAAAGTAAAGCAGACAACACTGTAGAAGTGAAAGAAACAGCACACATTCCATTATAGGACTCGCTGTACCACTTACCTGTTTATGAAGTCCTGCCTGTGTCTGGTTAAAAATAATAACATTATCTTCATTTACATACTAGTTATTAATGGGAAAGGTGATAAATCAAAGCAGCCAGAAAAGGCCATTATCAGTATGATTGTTTTGCTACCTTCCTGAGGCATAATGAATCAAAGGGAGAGAAGGAAATCACCTCCAGAGAGACAATTTCACAAGGACATAAAACCTACAGGATACTAACGCAAAATTTAGCAAAAGAAAAATAAAACCACCACCACCACCACCACCACCACCTCTTACACTGTTAAAAAAGGGAGCAACAGGAAATTTGATTGTTATACAGACAGCTGTCTTGGCAAATATTATTTCAGAGGAAATAAGAGAAAGTATCAACTCTGCAGAATTTCTAACATCACTGCCAAGGATTTAAAATGAGTGGATGCAGCTTTTCTCAGTCAAAGAAGTGAATCTTGGAGATGCCTTTTGCAAACAACCTACACTTTGAATTTTGAATGTATGTTTTAAAAACTTAGAATTTACTGCTTGGACTAATCAGGAAAAATGACTAGTTTTGAAAATTTAGGTCCCCAGGAAATAGAAACTGTATATACACATCCTTAAGTTAAAATTTGCCTTTTAAGTATTATTCTAAAAAATTATAAATTGATATACCCTTCTGAGGCTGTGGGTTTGATTCATAGCACCCCCCTACCAAAAAACACCTAAAACTCAATTATTAATGTCCTTGCCATAATTACATACAAAGTTAATTACAAATAGTATTCCCAAGTTAATTACTAAATTTAAGCTGCAATTAAGCCTTTCTCCTAACAAAGCAGAAAATATATGCCAAGAGAGCTTAAAAAGCTAGTGAGCAAATTCTTTTCAAGGCCTGAAGCAAATAAGGTATTCATAAAAATTAAGATACAAGTAGAGAACAGGATACAAACTATTACCTATGTTTGTCCAAGCAAAATCAAGTGAGAAAGCATTTATAATGGGCTTTGGTGAATTAAAATAATAATTTCTAACACCTCGTCTTTTGTTTTCAGCTTATTTTTACCTGAAGTCGAATTGGCAGCATCTTGGCTCTTGCCATGACGATCTGCTTCTAGCCATTGGTACAAAACTACATAATGTAACAGAAACAAAAAAGCTTGATGAACAAAGAACAAACAAACAAAAATGGCAAAAATGACTTTGAAGAATGGAAAATGAAAATAAAAAATTAACAAAAGCAATTAAACATGGGACACTAATACCAAGACTGTAGTTTAACACCAGCGAAATGTAGCTTCTATGTTATTAGTAACAAGAAAGCAAAAAGAAAAGGTAATTTTAATGTAATAAATAAAATGCCATTTAAACATGTGTTACAGTCATTCTTCTGAGAGAAAGCACACAATCCTCTGAAGGCTAATCACAAGAGAAATAGCACCCAAAAGCTGGTGTTTCTGTAGTAAGGCTTAGTAAAGAATGATAGCAAGACTAAATGACCAACTTTACACATGGTACCTCACCCACTGTACCAAAAAACTAACTCTACCAAATGCTAACAAGGGTGTGAAAACGACAGGAACTCTCCTTCCTTGCTGGCGGGAATGCGAAATGGCACACACACCACGGGAGACGTTCAAAGATGTCTTGAAGGTTAGACACAGTCTCACACATAATCCCCAAACTCCTGTATAATAAGTAAAAAATTGAATTCCAAAAGAGCCCTCAGTAATATGTGCAACAGTACTCATGGAAATCACAAGGACAACAAAGTCTGAGAACCTGTCAGAGGCAAGAAGAGCCTAGGGAAACGCAACCATGGAATGGAACGGAACATGCTGAGATACATTCCAGAAGGGGAAAGGCATTGGGAAAAAACTAAGGAACACTAAGCAGGGTGCAGACTTTAATTAGCAGTGACTTATCACTACTGATTCATTAACATTAACAAATATACTAGGCCACTAAAAGATGTTAATGACAGGAGAAACTGTACAGAGGGTGGGTATTTGAGAATTCTGTAAGATCATCTCAATTTTCCTGTAAATTAAAACTGCTCTAGAAATCAAGTATGTATATATGTATGTATGTATGCATGCATGCATTTACTCTTGGTTTGAGATAGCATCTCACTAGATAGTCTAAATTGGTCTTGAACTCACTATGTAGCCTAGGCGGGCCTCAAACTTGTGGTGATTCTCCTGCTTCAGCCTTCCAAGTGCTGGGGTTCAGGCAGTTGCAACTGTACCTGGCTCAAAGTCACATGTAGTTTAAAATTACATTCCAAAATCAAGTGTGATAGCATTCTTGTAGTTCCAGCTAATTGGGAACCTGAGGTAGGAAGATCACTCAAACCGAGGAGTCAGGATCATCCTAGATGAGACAGCAAGATCCCCAAAATTTATATTCCAGTATTTATGGTAAAGACATAGGCATATATTATATCCACTCTTATAAATAATTTACCTTTTGTAAGTCACTCTACACAAATATAAGCTAATATGTATTTTTACTATGGCCCAAATTAATAAACTATCTTGTTAAGCACCCTTAACTATGAAGCGTCAACTCCTGGAGGAAAGTTGACTACTCTAGGCACATGGGCTACCAATACACTTACATTAGAGCTCTGTAACAGCATTTTTGAAGAATGGTAGTTAAAACTCCTGGATGTCTCTTATGGGCTATCCAGATGTCCACAGTTACCAGATATCCCCAAAGAGATGCTGGAGTCCTTCCTTTAAAGAGTCAAAAGCCAGGCGTGATGGCACTCCCCTGTAATCTCAACATTCAGGAGGCTGAGGCAAGAGGATCACTACGAGTTCAAGGCCAGCCCACACTATATAATGAGTTCAAGTCTAGCCTGAACAACATAGCAAAATCCTGTCTCAAAAAACCCCCAAATGATGACGATGATGAAGATGATGATGATGATGATGACAGTAATAAAATACTTAAGTAGTGATAATACTAATGGTCAGGAAATTTTCCCCTCCACAATCTGAGGTTTGAATAACTCCAGGACAATCACAAAGGCTAAGCTATTTTAGGGTACCATCCACCTATAGACACTGAGAATTCTATATTCCAAAAAGCTCTGCCAAAACCTACTAAAACAGAGACCTCAGAAAGCTGCCTACCGGACTTGTGAACTGAACGAATAAAGGAATGATTCATTACAAATACCCTCCAGTCCCCACACACAGCGTACCTACTTTTCGACATCTAGGGTCTCCTCTTTCCACACCCTTGCCTCTGGGGGTTAGAAGCAAATGATTCTTCTTTACAACTGAGTGACTGGGTTACACCCAGGCTTAGAGTATAATCTATCTTTCTGCTGGTGTCCATCCGCTAAATATAATGAGCCCTTAAAAGGGAAGAAAGTCAGGTCACCAAATGGCTCTACAAAGCAAAGTCCCTGTAACCCTTCTCCCACCTTAAATGTGAGCGAGAAACAAACTTTCATTGTGTCAAGACAGTGAGGTGGGGTTGTTACGACAGTGGCAGCAGTTGGCTGGTGATGCATTTCTGCATTAGCCTGAGTTATTATGTGTTAGTCTAACCTTCACCATATAATACTAACCCCTGACTACATTCTATGCCACCTATTCCTTGGTGATTCCCCACATCACATGTCCTATGTTCAAGTAAGATACATGGTAAATATAGTTCTTTAAATATGGAACAGAAAAAAAAAAAGAAAAAATATGAAACAGAAAAAAAAAAAAGGAACAGAATTTGCCTGTTTTTAACCTTTCATGGAAGCCACACACCCATTACTAAGCTAAAACCAGGTAGTCTAACCTGCAATAAGCTGGTAGCCTTCCTAAACCCCAACCTCAAAGTCAGGGATGGTGCATGTCCAGGATGCTGAGCATTAAAGGGACCAAGCAAAAGAACCAAGACAGAGCTCTGCAAACCCACTGACCCTACTGAGGAATATCTGACAAGAAAGCCAACATTTTCAAAGTTTATTTTAATTAAGAATTTATCAGGAATTCATTAACATCAACCCAGTATATCCCAAATTAATATATCCTCAGTACTTTCCTTTTCACAACATCAAAATTAAGCAGCCATAACATATTTAACTTTACACTAAAAACAGGTCCATTACTGAATTTATTCATGCAGTTTCAGTACTCTGCTTCAGCCCCAGCTGGGTGTCTACAACTCTGAGCCTCTCACTAATCAGGAGTTAGTGCAGACTCTGCAAGTGTAAGGGGATGTGCTCTAATGACTGTGTTTTGGCCGCACCACATTCCAGGGGTGCCCATGCTATCTGCACTTCTGACAGATTAGCTACAAACAGGAAGTGCTCACAAGCCCTTCAGGTTTGATTAACTCAACATAAAATGTACAGAACTCAGAGAAAAGTGGCATATTGATTATTACAAAGAATACAAATCCCAAGGACCAAATGAAGACACCTGGTGAGGCCTTGTCAGGAAAGCTGGGGTTGCACCACATCTTTTCTCTGCAAAGTTGAGGCATACCCCCCCCCCCCCACACACACACGGACCCCTATGTATCAATCTACCAAGAAGCACCATTAAGCTTCAGTGTTCAGGGTTTTGCTATTGGGACTCCATCACATAGGCACATCACCAGCCACAACACAACTTGATTTCCAATCTCCTCCATTCCCCAGGAGCAAGACTGGTTCAAAGCCCTACATCTACTCACATCAGGTCCTTGGGGCGGCTCCCACTCTGAAGCTCTGGTTCTGAAGTTACCAAAGGACCCATCATTAGTCATTTTATTACCATAACTTTCTATCACTCAGGGAAATCCATGAGTTTTAGGAATTCAGTGCCAACAATCCAGATCAAAGAGTAGACAGATTCTTTATTACACAGAAACAGTACCAGGCATCATGCAGTCTAGCACCAAGCATAGAGCATAGTAGTGTATTTACTTGTAAAAACTTCAGCAATGAATCCAACATCTAGCACCCTCTAGTAAAGAGGAATAAAGAAAGTTTTCACTCTTAATCCTGATTTTAGCATACTATTTTAATACTATATATAAAACAAGGAAAAAAAAAAAACCTTAGAAACTCACTGAAGCTAGGCATGATTGTGCCTATCTGCAATCCCAGCATTCTGGGAGGCTGAGGAGGATGACCTCAGGTCAAGCACAGCCTGGGGAACTAAGCAAGACCCTGTCTCAAAATAAAAAATAAAAAGGGACGAGGATGCTGCTCAGTGTAAAGGTCCTGGGCTCAATTCCCAGTACCAATAATGAACGAATGAATGAATGAATAGAAAAAAAGAAAGAATTAACTTCTAAAGGGAGAGGAAACAAAAATGATTAATATGCAATCTGTGTATCAACCAAATCTCCAAGATTATTGTAATTCTTTGGTATCAAAAACATGTACCAATAAAAAATATGTAAGTCACTGAATGTATTTGTATTTTATTACACAGTACAAGACAAATCTGTCTTTCTTGCTAACTAATGTATTCTCTAACAAGACACCAAGAGAGCAATCCTTAGCCTCCAGGAACAAAACAAAGTCACTTGACATTAAAACATTTGTACTGACAAGGAACCTTTTTAAGATGATTCAAAATGGAATTTTCCTGCTGCACAACTCACAGCAGTCTTTTTTTGAGCTGAGGTTGATCTTTCTCTCCATTTCCATCCACTACTTTTTGCTGCCAATACCAACTCTCTTCACAAAATTTTTTGAGGAGTCAAAAAAAAAAGTATGTAACTCAGGTTAACTTACATAAAGGTATCATTTCACACAATACTGCTTTCAGGCTGGGGCAGAGCTCAGTGGTAGTATGCACAAGGTCCTGAATCGAACCAACAGTAACACACACACATGCATACACACATGCACATGTTACTATCTTTGGAAGAAAAAAATACCAGGTGAGAGATTAACGAAGTTCTCTAAAGCAAAGCTACAAATAACAAGGTGGGGAAGGAAGTACAGGTACATTTGTTTACTAATGTAAAACAATGTTACATCCTGCTTCATGGTCTGTTAAATAATTTTTATGTTAGAAAATAGAGCAAAAAAATGTTAGCAACAAGACTTACGGAGAGCACTTTTGTGTTAAGAATCAAACTTAAGTATTATTATCCCACTAGTTACCAAGCTACAGGTAAGCACAA